GTTATTGCAGCGGCTAAACTTTTTCTTGAATAATCGTGTTTCAGCCTGAAATGTTATTGTTGCTCTCAAATTGGAAGGTAGAATGAATCCACTTTTTCAGTTAGTTTGCATAGCACAGGTTAGTTTAATTAATTTCGCGAAAGCAGTGTCTTCAAATTTGGCCGTGCTCTACCATTCCTCTCTTTGGAGTTTATCAACACACATTTTTCACACCTTACCTTTTACTCCATCGGTTCTTGTTTTAATTCATCACTCGTCCCGCGATGTAAATCTACTCACACGATATTTCATAATCGCTACGTTTTTCTACGCTCGTAACTCGTGCATTTTCGAACGGTTGTGTTATCAGAAACAAACTGAAACGAATTCATAAGAAGTGTAACAATTCTGTTAGAAAACATCGTTCTGAATGCGTACCTGCTCTTCGAAGGAAAAAAACTGTAAGAGATCTGAGCGTCCCGGTAGTGCTTAGGACCAACATCCGCTCGCTCATGGGAAAATTAAATGATCTATCAAACATTGTTTTCTCAACAGAGTGTTCGCAGATTGGAATCATTATGTTGCAAGAAATCTGGCTCCATGAATAAGTAACTGATGCAGTTGTATCCGTTGGAGAATTAATTTGCCATCGAGCTGATCGCTCATGTACGTATCGAAGCCGAGTTGGTGGAGTACTTATTTACACAAATCGGTCTTGGTGTATTGCAACAAAACGCGCTTTTTGCTTCTCCTCACACTTTGTCCATTGTTTAGTCATACAACATAAGCCGAGGTGTTTGAATTGTTACCGCACAATATTGTTGGCTAACACCTACCTATTTCCCACCTATCCCAAACCTGAAGCGGAAAATTTCTATGGTGAATTTACTGCAGCTGTCATAGAACACATCGAGTGTTCTCTGTTCATCTTCGAAGGATATTTCAATAGATGTGACTACTATTCTCACCGCTCACAGCGAAAAATCGTCAATCTGCCCACCATGTTAATCGTACCCTTAGACCTAGTGTTTTGTTAATAATGTGGTGGTTCTTCTTATCTACTCAGGCTCTAATCGGCAATTCTGATGACACAACAACCAAGATTTTACCTGTCATCTATAGCAAGAACAACCACCAACAAGTCACTCGCTGCAATGATCGAAGGGTTAGGTGGAGACAGTGCTCTCCATAAAATCTCGACAGAATTCGCGAATTGATCGCATCGACGAAATTTGGTTTGCTTTTTGACCCTGATGTATCCAGACATTGTGATAATTTGATAAGCTATTTAAACTGTTTTGATATCTTATGTCCTTTGGAAACTATTTACGTCCGCGCTGACCGGTTTTCCTCCCCCCAACTGAAACGGCTACGCCGACTTAAGGAGAAAACGTTCAAAGTAAAAGACGGCACCTCAGTAAGATCTCCCATAGGTAGTATAAAGGAAGAACTACACAGGCTTAACGAAGTGTTTGTCCAGTCTGTTCCTGGGAAGGGCAGACGACGTGAACTCTGGATGATGCTGAAAGCGCTTAGCGGGGTTACTCGATGTTCGCGCTACTTTGATGTAGACGTACAGAAATTGCATCAGGAGTTCTGCGAGTGCAATACTCCTACAGCTCCAGAGACTTCCTTGCCCAAGTTCTGGGGTCTGCCCAACCACTGTCACCCGTTGACAGTGCGATTGTAAATAATCTAATAAACATCTACGTTCCGGTAAAGCTAGTGGGCTGGACATGCTATCTCCTATCTTATTCAAAAATTGTGCCGATTGTTTGGTAACACCTCTCGCGAGTATATACACAATGTGTGTGCTCCGGTACTAATAGCCGACCGCTGGAGAAGTACCCACATTACACCAGTGCCGAAAAAAGGATCCAACAAATTTCTGCCTATCGCGTGCACTTCCGTTGTTTTGAAGGTTCTGGAGAAAGTCGTACTCGAAATGATGCCGTCCAAACCGCGCTCTAATGGCCCACTCCAGTTCGCCAATAGTAGTTCGAGGTCTACCTTAGATGCTGTGGCCTATCTCGTAGATTCTGCACTGTCATCGCTTGACAATGGGAAGCAAGCAACTCGGATGGGTTTTCTTGACGTCAGTAACACATTTGGCTGTGTAAACCGCGAATTACTGCTAGTAGACATATTTACTCAAAGAGCGCATCCCTCCATATGTTTATATACTGATTGCTTATTTTGCTGAATGCACTCAGATCACCCGACTCAGCGTCTGATCTTCGTCCCCACCACTGACTAATGCACGTGTTCTTCAGTGAGCAATACTGCCGCCATTTTTCTACTTACGCCAGCTCTATGCCAACTCCAACTGAAGCGACTTTGGTAAAATATGCGGACGACATCTTCCTAGGCATAAATCATCAAAGCGCCGATCATGCATTCAGAATACAAGCGCTTCTGAACGATCTTAATGGCTGGTCCAGATCAATGATCTGTCTCTTGATGTTTCAACGTGCTACGACATTCACTTTTCCTTACGCAAAGGAGCCGGGTACGAAGAGCTCCTTACACTATACAGCCAGTTACAAATTGAAGGCTACGGACTACAGTCTACCACATCAGTAACATATCTGGGTGTGACGTTGAGTTACGATTTAGCTTGGACACTTCTATTACGTGAAACTTTCGTAAACGTCAAAAGGCTGTCATTCTATGCCTCTCGGCTCAGAGCTTCCTACGTTACTCGTGAGTTGATCGTTCGCTTTGTCAATGCCTGTGTTCCTCCCCATTGGACGTACTGTTCCCCTGTGGTCTTTCCCGGTCTTTTGGGTAAGCATTATAAGGTAATTGTCAGATCCTTAAAACGCATAGCTCGATGTAGCGGTGTTCCGATATTTACTTTTGCAAACACTTATTTCTACACACATCAGTTCTTTTGAAAAGCTAGCCTTTAAGATACTGACCGAGACATTTCGTCCCCTACACGCTGCCTTATCTGCATGTTTGTCAACTTCATCTACTAGATACAAGTATAAGCCAAGCTATGTTCGCAAACAAGCTTACCGCTTGTCAGTCAACCCTTATCTCTCGCGTCTTTTGCGCGACCCCAACTCTGTCATCCTTGACTTAACCAGTGGACTTTCAACTTGATTGTGTTTTTTATCCTTATTTAGCCGGTCTTTGTCGTATTGCTTTGCCACTGATTTGCCTTTTGGGTACATCATCGAGATCGCGTGTGTTGTAGCTGAATATCCACCCATGCAGGGTGCATAAAGCAATTTCGTGACTTGACTCGACCTGATTTTTGGTTTGGCGGTTATTGATCGAGTACGTTTCAATGATCTGGTTCCTGATGACACTAGTGAGACTTGCGTCCGCAACTCTTCCCTATGTACTGTTTCATCCGGCAGTCCCTTCGTATTAAGGGACGAGCTACGTCCTTGTCATATTGTCAAATGAAGTAACGGTAGACTGTGCTTCACTGCTTATTATCGCAGTAAGTCCTCGCTACATACAATGTTATATGCAATGTATTGTCAGCTTCTTTATTCCACCAAACTAACTGCGACAACAGCAACTGTATAGTCTTCCAAAATTGTAACTGTCATCTATGTGTGTAAAACCCCCGCTTATTTTCGCTAACCTTAGTCAATAGGGTGCGTTTGATAGGGATGGGCAACTCTCACGAATTCTACACCGCACGAAAAGTACATTGTCAGATAATCTGCCAAATCCAGCTACTTGTAGGTGCTTGTATTCAGTTTAATGGAAACAAGGGTAGCACAGACCCAACGCTTAAATGCTAACCTAAGTGACCAGCCGAATGGTATTTTGTATTTAAAGTGCTTAGGACGAGTTCTAATTCGACAGCAACAGTGTATTCTGCTGTCCAATTACCTTGCTATTGAAGTGTAGCCTTCTTCTTAGCTGATTTAATCACTTCACACAACTTTTAGGTCAAATTGCAAGCTTTCGCATGACAAAGATCGCTGGCGCCTCGCTAACAAATTCCCTAGGGTAGTAAACGGGTGACGTGAGTGTGTTTTGCTGATGGTGAAATCGATGGAAGTAGCATCATTTTAAAGGTAGGAAAAATAAAAACATAGGAGCAAACTAGTCCTCTGCACAAATGGTTAGAGCAGGAAACCGCTGTCAAGACATTTGATCCTTAGGCTCCTAATTTTTGTTGGGCAGGATCTCAGGCGGTTTCGAGTTGAGCGTATGTGTAACACTGACTCTGCTTACGTCTCATGCAGATGAAATGTGGGTCAAATTCTTATCTTGTTGTAGCGAGAACGAGGCGGTAGGGAGACACAGTCTTTATTGCCAATGCAAATCCGGTTCACAGGCTATCACGTATGCGCGCATGTATAGAGAACATTTCCCAACCACCACTCATCACACATTGTCCTTTCGCTCGGCGTCACATTCATGTCCAGACTTCAGCTAACCCACGACGTCCTTTTAGACCGATTTGCCATCAAAGGTTTGCTTCTTCTGGTTGTATTCTGACCGCACTAAACTCTTTCAAATGCTCTCGATTTGCTAAATCTGTGTTGTATCGCTCTCCTTGGGGCTATTTATGGAGGCGTAACCAAAGCCGTAGATCTCCGGAAAATCGGGCTCCTCACCACTACGTAGCCCGCTCTTCTCGGTCTGGGTCTGATATCGCTTGTTGCTCGTAGACCATTTCCGCCTTGTTCCGTAGGCCTCGAGCTGTTTTGTCGACTCTCTTCCTTGATGCCCTCTTTAGTCTTCCTCTCCTTTAGTTTCTTCGGCTTGTCCGTTCCGCTTGTGATTCTTGTCCTACGAGTCACTACACTCTGGTAGACTCTCGTTGAGTTAATGGGAGGAGTTCGAGAGCCTATAGTACTCATGTCTGGTATTGATTGTTGGAAAGATCGACAGTAATATTCACAGTCCCCGACTAATTACCTCATGTGATAAACTGACTCGGAACAGTAAGGTCACTTGAGTAGTCATCAACAGAGCCGTGACACTAGCTCAGACTACTCAAGTTCTCGTTTCCAAAAAAGGTGCTGTTTCTTAAAGTATATTAACTGATGGGACGTAACGGGCAGAACCAAAAGCGCGGCTACAGTCATGAGGTAGGGCATGTCGGAGGTATGTAACATTTTACATAATCGGAGTATATTTTCCTCTGGTGATTGTTTATCGAGAACGGACTTGGTTAACTGTGGTTGTTCATGTTCTTAAAGTGATTCTCACCCATAATTTGAGCAGACGATTTTTGATGGGTATGCGTGCTGTACAAAAATGTTTGCTATCACGCAGTTGCATTTAAGCTATTTCCTTGAGGCATGATAATTAGTCCACTGCATCTAAGTAAAGTGATGCTAGCTGATGGCTTTCTTTTACTAATTTAAAAAACGATCTGGATTTTATCTTCATTGCACAAGGAAAAGAGCGATGACATTTAAAAGCACTCAGATAGCACTATCAAATCGTAACAGATATGTCGTGGAATGAGAGAATAAACGAATGTCGTTTCTAGCTTCATCTACATCTTGGTGTATGTGCTGTAGGCCATGGTATTTTTCGTATCATAGACTAGGGACTACGCTCAACTCATGCAGTTGGCCTCTTTATACGGCAATGGAACATTTAGCTCCAACATCAGTCATTCATGCGAAAGATTAGTTCTTGTAGTAGAAATTCGCCCGATGAATCCTTGATAGCCTATGCATCTACTTGCTTGGGCATACGAGTTATCACCTTACTTTGCCTACCATCCAACAGTATCATGTTCGCAATAATGCTTTATGGTACGGAGAAATAAAGATCAGCTAGCCGAACTCAAATATGCTTCTATGCAAGAAGAATCAGATTGCTAGGCTTAAATTGCACTACCACTTCTCGAGGCCACTCCGTGTACTCCTGATGATACGGTCGTTGTTCTGGGTGTGATCCGAGTAAACGATTAAGTTGGTACTAAATCTTTTGTGATTTAGCATCTGAAACGTTAAACGCACGTATCTTGACTCAAACATAACTTTTTATTCGAAAGAAAACCCATTTACATTGGCACACTTTTACCAACGGGTATAAAGTTTATTTATCCCGGATGAATAAAATTCCGGAGTTCTGGTGGCGATGAAATCGTCGTAGGCAGTCTCAGCATATACTTGGTTGCTAAAACGTCTTTCGAAGTAAGTAAGGTGCCTAGAAATCGGTACTAGGTAGGTGAAAAGTACGGGAAGTATGGTGGGTGAGGCAAAGTTACGTAGCCCAGCTGGTGTAGCTTAAGCAGGGTTGTTTTTGCGACTTGCGGCCGAGCGTTAGCATGGAGAATTATCCCCTTTCTGATTATATATATATATATATATATATATATATAGCATTATAGACAATCTGTGGTACAGATGTTGTGCCATCGGAATCATGGCTGAATAGGAAAACAGTATGAATAATAAGAAAAGAGCAACAACAAAAGCTTTTTGTCTATTTTACCACTCACGGTTTTTGCAATTTTTTCAGTTTGTTCTTATTTTAGGGTGAGGAAGAAGGGACACCGCAACACACCGATACACACGTCCGCCATTGAGATCCTTCTTGAGCCATGGCATCCAAGGTCTTCAACCAGCAAGTATCCTCATCTCACGGACCCCAACCAGGTAGTCGACAACAACCGGCCGAGGCCAACTGTTTCGTCAGCTTTTTCATGCGGCTTCTCCATGTTGTAGGCTGTCCACCAGACCTTCTCTTCCAGCCCTGTCCAGCAACAGAAAACGACGCACGACGCGGGTAACGCTGGACAGGCATGCGCAATACGTGTCCCAATGACCGCAGTTGATGCAGTGAGACGAGCTGCTCGAGCGAGTGGCTTCCACGTCCCAAGTCATTCTAACTTCCACATCGCTCATGTGGTGCTGCCACCACACACGGGCACTGGACCGTAGAGAGCGGTGCTCGAAGACGGATAGCCTGCGCAAATCACCTTTACGAATGGGCCAGTTCTCGCATCCGTTCAACAGTACAGTACGAACAGTTGCACAATAGACCCGCCCTTTGATGGATAGACGAATGTCGTGGCGACGCCACAAATGCCTCAGCCTAGAAAAAGTGAGGCGCGCACTCGGGATGCGCATCGAAATCTCGTCTCCAATAGTCCCGCCAGCAGTGCTGCAACTTCCCAAGTAGACAAAGCTCTCCACAACCTCTAGTGTCTCACCAGCAAGCGTGAGTGCAGGCAGAGGCACCTGCCAGTCTTGGAAGAGAGCCTTGCATTTGGATGGCGAAAAGTACATAGCGTACTTTGATGCTTCAATCGCCAAGCGGTTTAGTGCAAGTTGGACGACGTGTGGATCATCACCAAGCAAGACGATATCATCAGCTTAATCCAAATAAACAACTCGACTACCTGGGAGGAGCTCAACGCCAGCGTTCAACGAATCGCCCAGAGCGTTCTTCAGGACATCCTCAATGGCAAAGTTGAATAGGAACGGAGAGATAGGGCATCCTTGTCGAACTCTACTGGAGACCACAAAGGTAGGCAAAAGCTTGCCATAAGCCCTAACCCTGCCCGAGGTCAGACTATAGAGAGCGCGCAGTATGGAGACGAACTTCTCGGGGACACCATTCCTCAGTAGGCAGTGCCACAGTACTGTACGATCGAGAGAATCGAAGGCTGCACGGATATCCAGGAACACAGCAATCGTTGGCCTCTGCTACACATGGCGGAGCTCGAGGATCTGGCGGAGTGTGCAGATTTGATCGATGCAGCCACGACCAGGGCGAAACCCAGCTTGTTCTTCTTATTGCAATGATTCGCTTGCAAACGACGGGGACTAAACTTATTCCTCTGTAGTTAGAGCAGATTGTGCGCAGGCCCTTTTTGAAGATAGGGACGACTATCAATTCACCACAAGATGACGGAACTTTTGAGCCAACTTTCGAGAACAAAGCGGTGAGTTCTCGAACCAGCAAAGCGCCACCAGCTTTAAATAGAGCTGGAGGAAGACCAACAGGGCCAGGGGCCTTATATCACTTCGTGCGCCGGAGCTCCTGCTCAATTTCCTGGTAAGAGGGAGGATCTGTGGGGTAGACCACTCGGCCGCAGCGTGAGCGCCAGAGGTGGCAGATGGAGCTGGGGACCAACATAACTGCGAGCCAAAATGTTCGGCCCATCGCTCCAACCGTCGTTGAAGTTTGATGAATAAGCTGCCATCCTCTTCGCATATTGTTTCACTTATACCAGATCTAACACCTTCGGTGACTTGAATGAGATGGAGAAGTTTTCTGGTATTACCAGAGAGATTAGCAACTTCCATCTCCCTAGCACGTTCACACCACCAAGCTTCGCGATCCATTTGCAGACTCCTGCGCAAGTCTCGACCAAGGGATTGGCGTTCTTCACTGTGTCTGGAATCCGAAGGGATCAAACGGCGTTTGTCTATCTGGACAAGGTGTCGGCGGAAATCCAACGCTTCGGTGGGTGACGGGCAACTCCACTAGTGATATACATCCACTGCGAATCGACATCACCGTCAACAGTTGAGCCAAGTAAGGTCGACAGTGAGGTTTGGTACCTGGTTAAACTCGCAAGGTTTTGTAGATTTGCTACGTCTGGTCGGTAGTGAGCGTGCTTAGGTGATCCTCCGAAACCATGCAAATCTTAGCAAGAACTAATGCGTGATCGCAGTCTAGAAAAGTTGACCAGGACGATCGGCAGTCCGTTACGCTTCCGCGACATCTATAGCTGATTGCTATGTGGTCAAGCTGGGAGCACTCTTGCGTTTGTGAAGACGGGCGCCAGGTAGCAGTGTGTCTCCTCGAGTGCCGAAAACTAGTGCTCGAAAGAAACTGGCGATGATCAGAGCAAAGAGCAATCAGTCTGTCTCCATTGTCTGATCGACTGCCACCGAGACCAAAGCTACCCCCAAGATGGTGCTTGCTTGGTGGAAGGCGATCAACACGTGCGTTCAAGTCCCCGGTAAGAATGACTATATCCGTCCTTTTGGGGGAACGCAGAACTTCATGTATTTGCTGGTAAATGCTATCTTTAATTGTATCCGGGCTACAGTCTGTAGGGCGTAGGAGGAGACGACAAACAAGGCACACTTAATGTCTCGACGACTGCTTACGTTACATGAATCTCGTAGTCTGACTGCACATAGCCGACTGTTGACTGGGATCCAGTCAAGCAGAGCTGATTCAGCCCTGACACTCAGTACAACCCCAACACCAGCTTGGCCAGTGGCGACAGCTTCTGGGTCTCCGGAAAGCCACAAGTGGTATTTGACGTCAGGGTTTACTGGAGAGGTCATTCTGATGACGGCGCTAGAGTCTTGTAATCTGGTCTCTGAAAGGCAACAGATGTCTACCGAAAGCATTTCAAGGGTACGGGCCAGACACGCTTGTCGTCGGATCTGCATCAAAGTTCGAACATTAAACGCTGCAAGGATGAATGGAGAACCAGTCGAAGAAGAGCTGGAGCTTCGATGGAGTGAGAGACGGTTGCGATCGCAGAACATTGCAAACCGGGAGTTTGGCTGTTGCTTCCATCAGTAGCGAGATGTGGGTCGTTTGTGATGGTGAGCGTAGAAGACATAAGAGTACATGTGGGTGAAGGACAATGAACAGTGAATTTATACGGGTTAAGAAGCGTTGCTTTACAAGTCCCGTTGGATAGTTGGTGGGGATATCAACCTAACAATAATGATGATAAGGATAGTAAAATAGGTAATATTGTAAATATGAAGATAAGTACTTATCGTTTGCTCCGCTGTAGTCCTGCGATCCTCTTAGATTCACAGCACCCACTTAACAACAAATAATTCTATGGTAAACTCCAGGTGTAGGATGGGGACGTAGTGTTAAGTGACAAAGTGTCAGTGGATGAGTGCATCGTCCAACCGTCTTTCAAATACTGTTAGTGTCGGTGCAGAGACGACCGATTCTGGGAGAGCATTCCACGGGTGACAGACACGAATGGAAAAGAAATTTTGCGGCACTCCAGACGACTGTATTGTTCTGAGATTTTTAATGAGTGGCCCCTCAGGTTTGTATTGCTGCTGAGTTGCAGTAAAGGGCGGCACACATGATGTGGGTCTCGCAGAATCAAGTATGCCATAATCAGGTCGCCTCGTAGTCTGCGACAGCTT